CTGTTTTTGTACTGTATCAGTGTGTGTCTGTGCTGTTTCTGTACTGTATCAGTGTGTGTCTTTGCTGTTTTTGTACTGTATCAGTGTGTGTCTGTGCTGTTTCTGTACTGTATCAGTGTGTGTCTTTGCTGTTTCTGTACTGTGTCAGTGTGTGTCTGTGCTGTTTCTGTACTGTATCAGTGTGTGTCTTTGCTGTTTCTGTACTGTGTCAGTGTGTGTCTGTGCTGTTTCTGTACTGTACCAGTGTATGTCTGTGCTGTATTAGTATGTGTTTGTGTACGCTGCTGTGTGTGTCTGTGCTGTGTCTCTGCTGTATCATTGTGTGTTTGTTTTCTCTCTGGGTTGTATCAGTGTGTGTCTGTGCTATATCTGTGCTGTCTCTGTGCTGTGCCTGTTTTGTGTCTGTGATGAAACAGCATGTGTCTGTTCTGCGTTTGTGCTGTATCAGTGTGTGCCTGTGCTGTGTCTGTGCTGTTTCATTGTGTATCTGTGTTGTGTCTGTGATGCATTAGTGTCTGTGCTGTGCCTGTGCTGTCCCAGTGTGTGTCTGTGCTCTCTCTTGGTTGCATCAGTGTGTGTCTGCACTGTCTCTGTGCTGTATCTGTGCTGAAACAATATATGTCTGTGCTGTGTTTGTGCTGAAACAATGTGTGTCTGTGCTGTGCTTGTGTTGTGTCTGTGCTGTTTCAGTATGTGTTTGTGTATGCTGTTGTGTGCGTCTGTACTATGTCTGTGCTGTATCAGTGTGTGTCTGTGCTCTCTCTGGGTTGCATCAGTGTGTGTCTGTGCTATCTCTGTGCTGTATCTGTGCTGCATCAGAGTGCATCTGTTGCATATGTACTACTTGTGTGCTGTGTCTGTGCTGTATCAGTGCTGTGTCTATTCTGTATCTGTGATGCGTCAATGTGTGTCTGCTGTATCTGTGCTGTCTCTGTGCTGCAACCGTCTGTTTCTGTGCTGCATTAGGGGCTGTCTCTGTTGTGTCTGTGCAGTCTCTGTGCTGAATCTGTGTTCTGTCTGTGCTGACTTTGTGCTGTGTCTGTGCTGTCGCTGTGCTGTATGTGGGCCATCTCTGTTGTGTCTGTGTGTGGTCTCTCTATGCCAACTCTATGCTCTGTTTGTGCTGTACCCACCTCACAGGCAGGGGCTGATCTATACTTGTGACCCCACCCCTCTCATCCACCACTCCACTCTGTCTTCCTGGCCCCTTACTTGACTGCTGCCTTGGTTGGCCATTATTGGTGTCGTCGGGCTCCTGTTTTGGGCCGTGACTGGGGGGTGGGGGGGATGGGCATCTGGCACAGGCGGCGCTCGTTTTCCGCCACCTGCGCTCGTACCTCGGCAGCCATTGTTTACACTGACTGACACACCTGCAGCGCTCCTGCGTTTTCTCCCACCCCCGCAGTTTAGGAAAGCTAGCGTGTCTTTAAGGCTAACATGGCACACCAGGAGGTTCCCACGGCCCTTCGGAAACACTGCCTTCACCAGGATACTGACTATAGCTGAGCTATCAGGCATGCTCAGGCTGCACACGACCTCGCCGTATAGCCACCGGGCGCATGCCGGCCGTGTGAGTCGCTCAGCCCGTACCGCGCACTCTGCCGTGGTTGAGCCGGCTTGGCGCAGGGAGAGACAGCTGCCCTGACAGATGCTGGGGGCAAAGACCCCACTGGGGAGCTGGGCTGGTGGTGGCGCACCCCCCCCCCCCCCCCCCCCCCAACACCAACCCCCCGCTACCGCAGAGGGATCCTCTGACGAGAGATAAAAGGAGCCTGTTGTCTACGCGAAGAGAAGCGGCCCTGTTTTCTGCCCTCTCCTCACACGTTAGCGACGGAAGGGGGAAGGAGCGAGGGATCCGCAGGGCTGGCGTGTGGCGACCATGTCCACGGCCCCGCTGACCCCGAGGAACGGTCCACCCCGCTGCCCCCAGGGGGGGCGTACCATGTGACGCGAGTGGGCTAGCAAGGCCCGCGCTGCCCCCTGGGGCGGCCATGGCCTGCTGCGTCTCTCCTACATGATTAATCTGACTGAGGGCAGAAGGCTGGGGGCGAGGGTACTGCGGCAGCCCGGCACATTAACCCCCTCCGCACCAGTGGTGGGGGGGGGTGGCTGACCGCCGAGCCTCCCTCCGATTTCAAGCCAACTCCATCCTCTGCGGAAGGATTTTGAACCACGCAGCATCTTCACGCTGGCAGATTTTACTTAACCCTCTATCTTCCCGGAGTGCGACGCTCGGTCTTCCCGCAGATTAGGAGCTGTAAGGATCTCGTCAGGAATAACCTACGGCTGAACCTGCGGCCTGCGCATTAATGTCCTCCACGCTGCTCCAGGCCTGCCAGTTAATCCCTCATGTGACATTCACCCAAGGGTTCTCTCTCGCTCCCTCTCCCTGCTGTTCTGCTCTTGTTTTAGGGTGTTCCTTCTATTTCCTTACTGGGATTTCTGTGTCCTTGGTGGAGATTCCAGACCCTGCTCTCCTTCCCCCGGCAAAGGTACGGGTCGGTTAATGGTAAAACCACACGGACCGCG